CTGAGCATCTATGATGATCCAGGTGTTGTGCTAAGTGGTGATAGGTAAACAGATGACATCAATGGAGTCCTTACCTCATAGGACTAAAGCTCTAAAATTAAGTATGTTCATTCATAAGTATAATAGTACGGGAATGGGATATTCTTGTCTCAGGATGTCAACTAAAACCTCACTCTGAAGGGAGACTCTACACATATGCATGAAGGATACAGGACTTGCTAGAACAAAGCAAATGCTATCTAGAGACGATTGCACTCCATAGCCTGTACCATTACAGAAGACTAGACATTTGAAAAGAATTAATTGAAGTAATGGGATTCATGGATATTGAGAGTGCTGTGGCCTTTACCCTATTCTCCTAAAGATGGGGAGAAGATGGTTTACCCTCACCCTGGTAAGAGAAGAGACTGGCATCTCCTGCACATGTCATGTATCTGCTGAGCTGCTGAAATTCCAAAAGGTTGCTCCTGGATGAGAGAGTAAAGGTGTTATTAGGAGAACTTGTCATGTGTCCTCAGTAGTTTGGGTTTTGTACTAAAAAATGAACACCAATACTTGTTTCTTACCTGGATAAATTCTGAAGGCGGTAGGTTAGCTAGACTACCCAAGATGGTAGGGTAAAAGCAGATGCGTTAACAGTTAAGTTGCATTTCCACTATTTAGCAAGGCAATGAACACATATTCTTGGTGGGCCAAATAAATGGTGTGGAAGATAGATGTGAATTATCTTCAAAACATGTCAACCAGGAGGGCTATCTACTTGAGTAAGGAGAGCCGGGGAGTAAGAAATTGTATGGGATATGCTGCTAGGAAGTGATAGATAAGAGGAAATTATAAGACACCAGCCAGAGATTGCATTATTCATCCAGGAATGGTGTAATGTGCAGGATCCCCAGGAATTATCGAGGAACTCAAGTTCAACCATCAAGAAAGCCAGGATTTGGAGGCCTGCCATTAGAGAAGGCAAGAGTTCAAATACAATAGTGTTAGTCTCGTACAACTTTCTTCCATCCACTCTTTCACCCTCAGCCCTCAATAGTAGAGAAGCAAGCAACAGGAGTGGGGAAGAGAATTGGAAAAGCAAGGGTAAGAGCTGTGAAAAGCAAGGGTAAGAACAGACAACATGTCCACCTCGCCGGACATCTTCAAGCCAAAGGTTAGGCCTGGGCTGGGGGCAAGGGAGGAAGAGAACATTGAATTGGTTGTGAGACTGAAGTTTTATTTCAAGCTAGCTGATTTTTTAAAAACCTGATAATGGACTGTGCTAAAGGGGCGCCTGGGTGGCTCAGTCGTTAAGCGTGTGCCTTCGGCTCAGGTCATGATTCTAGGGTCCTGGGATCGAGCCCCGCATCAGGCTCTCTGCTCCACGGGAAGCCTGCTTCTCCCTCTCCCACTCCCCCTGCTTGTGTTCCCTCTCTCTCCGTGTGTCTCTCTCTGTCAAATAAATTAAAAAAAAAAAAAGGGACTGTGCTAAAGTATTTATCACCAATACTTTAGCTGTCTATTAAATTGTAAAACACATGTTTGTTCATTCTCGGTCTAATGGCATGGCATATAGTAACTGAGACCCTATGGAATCTTTCTGAAGTGTCCTCCAGGGACAGGGAAAATAGAACCAACTGAGGATGTTTAATGGCAGTGATTAGAGAAAAACAGAGCCATTGCTTATTCAGCCGCTCTAGAGCTTAACCCATTCAATAAATTGCCTACCTATGAAAAACACATACGTGGGTGTATACACACACACATGCATATGACAAACTTTGGCTCATCTCATTGGCATCATGATTATAACCAAATAATGGGCCATCTGAAGAACATGGTATCTTCTACTCATAGGCCATTTATGAGTCTTCTAATATTACTAATATTACGGACAGGGAAAAATAATAAAAACGAGAATGAATTGAGTGCCTACCATGTACAGAAACTGGGCTAAATGATTTATATAAGTAATACCTCATCTCATCCTAGTTCAATTTTTAAAAGGAGTAGATAAGGTTATTCTCATTTTAGAAATGAGGAAACAGGCTTGGAGAGGTTAAGTGAAAAGAAGTCTTTAAGATTTAGATCTGGGAGGCCTGCCTGTATTTCCAAAATATGTATTTGTGGATATATTCTTAACTTCCCAAAGTCTACTTGAGAACTTCTGAAAAGGGAAACATAGTCCTTTAGAGAAATTCCATTCCTCTGTGGTATATGTCATATTATTATGAGATTCTTCCATATATTAGAACTCTAATATTTTCTGTAAAACATTTATGCATAGAGTCTGTGTTAAGTGTATCTTCTACATGGTTTCACAAGGGGAAACATGGTTGTTCATTAACTTCTTTATCCATTCAATGAGGATTTATTGATCATTTAGTGTAAGTCACACACTGTACTAGGTGCTGAAGTTAACATGATGAACAAGACAAAATTTTTGCCTGAATGGAAGATATTGGGCATTTTCCTACAGATTGTCCCTCATTTGCTCTAATCATCCTCAATTTCTTCTTTTTTCCATTGTAAAATAAGGTTGAAAAAATATATACACATGTCTTCTAGAACACAGTGAGACACAAGCACTCATATACAAATATATTTATAATGATCACACTTAGAAAAGCAAATAACAAAATCCTAAATATCCAAGATAGTAAGATAAATGATTGTTAATATGCCAGATAGGCTATTATGTCACTGCAAAGTATGTTCATGATAGATTTTTAATGCTATGGAAATGGCAGATAGTACATAATTGTCTTTTTAGACAGTTTTGATCCAATTTTCTGTGTGTTCATGTGTGTGGGTTTGCCTACAAATGTGCATCAAAGAAAGGCTGGAAGAAAATATACCAAAGTCTTAACAACAGTTACTTACTGGATAGTTAATATTAATGATATTTTCTGTATCTTCTATTTTTTCTCTAACAAGCATGTCTTATTTTGAAAGTGCAAGGTGCATGCCTAGTCTGTAAAGGGTATTGCTATAGGCTCTGGAACAACTGTACAATCAGCATAGTGGGGCATCTGCTTGGGGACTACAGTGTTTATAAATTAAAATGAGTACACGTGTGTGTGTGTGTGTGTGTGTGTGTGTGTGTATGTGTGTGTGTATGTATGGTCAATTCTTTATTTTCCATGACTCACTTTTTATCCATTTTCCTTTCTCACTGTAATCTATGTGAGTCACATCTCCCCATAGTCAGTTGAGAGCCAACAATGTTTAATAATAGCCCAAGAAGAACATATGTAGGAAGATAAACCTACTGATGGCTAAAGGATAACCACTATGAGTTCAGAGCCAAGTATAAAATGACTTTTAAATATACTATCGTTTAGTTTATCTGAGTTCCTGATTGCCTCTGCAGACAAAGATCACTGATCAGTGACCATTGATTTAGCAATAGTTTTGACCTTTGATGTAGAATCATAATAGCCAATAAGAGTGAATAACAAATATAGAAAAACAAAAGCTTCCATTTTGAAATTAAATGACTACTTTTTCATAGCAATGGGAGTTTGGAGGCTATAAATGTCTTCTTTTTTGACATTATCTGCTTACAACTTGTAACCAATACTTCAGCTATCTATTAAATTGTAAACTACATGTTTTGTGCATCCTGAGGTTTAATGGCATGGCATGCAGTGATGGCTAGAACTAATAACTAACAAGTCATAAGCAAATGAACCTGTTTGGGTTGGGGCACACTGTGGATTAGAATTTTTATTAGGTAAAATTGATTTGTTATTATGTAGATGAAAAGGAAGCTGTTAGTATTTCTGATATCTGTATTTCAATAGAAATACAAGTATTTTATACTATTTGTTATTCTAGAAAATTAAAAATTAAATTAAAAAAATTAAAAAGTGGAGCTGGATCTATCCCTTTTTATCCCTTTCTCAGTCTTCGATACCACACAAGCTGATCATGGAGAGGCAAGCTAGACATAGCTTATGTCAAATGTCGCACAACTGAACATAAGCTCAAGCCAGCAAAGATAGGGGATTATACCTCAATTATTTGCTGGAACTAGGTTTTGGAGAGACTGCCCAACCAGTATGAGACAGTGTACAGTGATTACTAAATTGAACTCACGCTCCTGGAAAATTGAAGCCAGCGGCTCAATGTACTCAGTGAAAAGGAAACACACACAGGTACACTTCTGGAGTGCTGGGACATTTCACAAACAGGACATTTATCATTGTTTGCTTAAGCAATATTTACAAATATAGAGGGCCTGCCCTTACATAAAAATAAATTATACAGCCATTATGGATTATTATTTGAAGTGCTACAAAATGTCTATGTGTACCTGTTATCCATCTCATGCTTCTCTGTCCACCTGCCATGGTTGTCAGAATTTTCACCATCTTGGAAGACTCCTCTGTTCTTTCTCTAGGTAACTATGTCACTTGAAAATAATTGTGTGTCAACCATTAAGGCAAATTAAGGAATGACAAAGATTTGTGTATCTACTTTGCTGCACTCTAATATTTATATTTATTTCTCATATATACTCATTGACATGGCTTTTCTGTGTAAATTTCCGGGAGCTTAATTCAAACTTATTATTGTAAATGACTTCACTGAGCACATGAATCACAATAGGCTCACCAATAAATACTTGATAGTACAACGTAAGTTGCATCAATCTTACTCTAATTCCTGCAAGCTTCATGGCTCATGAACAACATGAGGTCAAAAGCACTCAAGGGCTTCTTAGACATAATTCCTGAGCCATGTTTCTGCCTTCACTCATTCCTCTTCTCTCTCAACCCTGATTCTCCTCTCCCCTAATTGATCTGATCAGGAAGGTCCCCCATGTCCTCAGAGCTCTAATTCTCTCAAACTCAGCTCTTCATTCTCTTATTGCATTGCACCTCCACCAGTACCACAGGATGGCAAACATTTCTGTCTTCACAGAATTCTCCAGCCCAGAAGACCTTTGACAACCCCTCCCTCCCACCCCCCCCGCCTCCTGTCACTTGTTGTCAAGTGAGGAGACTTCTTACCTTTGGCAGAGATGCCCTGGAACCTGAACTCTGGGTAGTCATTGTTAAGACAGTGGTGATGCCCAGTGCAACCCTAGCAGGGGCTGCATCCATGTTTATCCAAAAGGAGACCCAGGACAAAATGACTATCAACAGACTGGGGATGTACATCTGGATTAAATAGTATCCCATCTGGCGTTCCAGGTGAAACTTAACCTCGATGCAGGTAAACTTTCCTGAAAGAAGGAAATAATGATTTAAGATCCAATTTGAATTTATCTTTCCCATTCTAGCCTCCCACTGTTTAGTTTTTAAGAGTATTACAGGTGGATTTGGAAGATTGCACAAAATGCTAACCCTACGTAACCAATTCAACTCTTTTTCAACTCAACCAGTAATGGAATTAACAGTCGTGAGAATGAGTGATCTTAAGAGTCACTGGACTAAGGGTGCCTGGGTGGCTCAGTTGGTTAAGCATCTGACTCTTGATCTCAGCTCAGGTCTTGATCTCAGGGTTGTGAATTCAAGCCCTTCATGAGCCTACTTAAAAAAAAAAAAAAGTCACTGGACTGAATGATTTTTCTAAATCTGTGCTTGTAGCTTGATTATTTAGACAGAGCTTCAGAATTTGCAAGACAGTCAGAAACTGACAAGTAGAAATAGTCACATTTTGTGAGGTTATAATATGTAATATATAACATACAGTACATAACCTGCAGTATATATATATAGCATATAATATATAACGCATAATATGTAACAGTTGAAAATAGTAAAGTTCACATGGGGCCCTCAAATTATTTGGATAATTGTGTATCTATCTTTGTGCCATCCATAATAAGAGAAAAATGTATATTTGTATATGACATGCATATAATCTAGTCCTTGTAACAATTTCCTAGCTTTCTGGGTAGTTGCTTGAGGACATTTAGAATATTCCTAAAATCTGTTTACAGTGTTACAGTACTTATAAAAAGAGTGTACACAAAGATATTAAAACTTTTAACATACTGTTAAGAGACAGGTGTTCCTGCCCCTTGCCACTTTTCTTCCCCCTTAATTGGTTTGGAGACAGAACCCTGGAAGGTAATTTGGCTTAGTCCACACAAATTATGAGAGATAGGGTTGGATTCCTCTTGGTCAGGAAAAACCCTTTGGAACCAGGTTTTGGTCACTTCATAAGAAGCACTATTGACTACTGGGATAAGTGTTCGTGAATGTTCTATTTAGCAAGGGACCTGAAGCAGTCACTGAACAAACTATCCTGTCTAGCTTGCCTCTCCATGATCAGCTTGTGTGGTATCGAAGACTGGGACATTTGTAGGAAAAGCCATCAACTTTACTGGGCAGGCATGATCTTCTAGGTAACAACATAGGCTCACTTGTTACTACCTCCTCATATTCTCCCTCTGACCTGTGTGTCTATCAGCACTACCGACAGTGCATGGCTTTAGAACCAGCTGAATTCCCACCAGCTGGTTTTCATCCAAATTCTTATCACCGTCAAGGACTGGGGAGCACAGCAACTGTATTTCTGGGGTTTACAAAGTCCTATGTGGTTATTCCTCTCTTCCACTAAGTCAGAAAGTACAAACTGATCTGAGGATCCAATGTCAAGAGTGGATGCCGGGCACGGGCCAGAATTTACACGTTTCCTGCACTATATACAAGGTCTTGTACACATTTCCTCAAACTCCTTTGACAGCACATGGTCAGCAAGGGAACAGCAAAAGAATCCCAAATCTTTTTTCTTCTCTCTCCATTTTGGAGAAATTATCTATTGTGCTCACTGACTTATTCCAGAGGGTGCAGGCATCTTATCTGTAAAGGGGGTTTTGAGCCAAGGTCTATGCCTTGTAGCTCCATTTTCTTGGTAAAGATATAGCAATCAAGGTGATGTGATATATAGCCCACGCTGCAGATAGAGCCCACTTGGGTTTAGCAGCTGAAAGTAAACTTACCAGTGTTATAATGCTTTGTGCAGTAGCCAAGTTCCTTCTCTTCTTTCAAAATAAACTGAGGCAGGGTCAGTCCTTCAGCAACTTGAACTGGACCGTCGCTTAACCACTCAAATATCAGGTCATTCATCGTGTACCCAACTGGAGTAAACAAATCATAGTGAAAAACTTAATGCATCTTTCCAGGAAAGCTTGAAAGTCTAGCCATGTAAAGAACAAACAAGGAAACCATCTAAAGCAGACACATGCCCAATCAGTTCAAGATCATTTTTAGTAAAGGAGCTACAATGATCGTGACAACTACATGTCATTGGAGCCAAAGAAATTGAAGGGAGCAAGCTATTTCTGAATGATTTTTTCTGTGTAATGGGAGAATGGAATCTATAAAGTCCATTTTCTTCTGCCCTCTTAATTTACTAAATCTTTCTGAAGAAGAAACAAGTAAATGAACATAAAAATCCTTTGAAGGTTGTCTTTATTTTAGAAGGAGTTGTGTCTGTGACAATCCAGTAAGACAATCTAATTCGTGGCACTAGTCTTAGTATTTCAAATGAAAAGCATTCTTCTGTTTTTATTAAATGAGAATGAATTAATCACACTCCTGCCTAAAACACCTCCATTGTAAACTTGGCCCCTCTTCTAGGGTATTTTAGCTTTGTTTTCAGAAAGCTTATGTTAGGATCATAGGGAAAGGGAGGGAAAACTGAATGGGAAGAGATCAGAGAGGGAGAGAAACCATGAGAGACTCTTGACTCTGGGAAACAAACTGAGGGTTACGGAAAGGGAGGTGGGTGTGGGGATGGGGTAACTGGGTGATGGGCATTAAGGAGGGCATGTGATGTGATGAGCACTGGGTGTTATACGCAACTAATGAATCATGAACTCTATACCAAAAAGTAATGATGTATTATATGTTGGCTACTTAAATTTAAATTAAAAAAAAAGAAAACTTATGTTAAGGTTCTTATGGTCAATCCTCGGTTATTTTACCAAGTGGGGGAGATGTAAACAAGCAACCTAAAAAGAAGTTGTGGAATAATGCAACTCAGGAATATCCACTTGTGCTAGTATCTTGCTAACTGGGCCCACTCATCACAATGATTAATATGAAGTAAAACAGATTCTCCATCATATAAGGTCATATTGTTCTATGAATCCTGAGCCATCCAAAGTTAAGACTGTTATCAGTTTAGTAAACCAGAGTTAGCTCTTAGTTTCCAAGCTCCTGCTAAACTAGGTCATTATCTGTTAAGTGCTTCTGGATCTTTTTGTACCCCAGAAATGAAGGCCGCTATTCCTTTAGGCATCTTTTCTCTCCCTTCCCTCTTTGTGATATTGAACTCTAAAATGAGAGTGAGGAGGACAAGGGATATTATGTGAGGTCTTGGTGGGCCAATAACTTCAGCATATTTATTGAGTTTATAGATTCTTGTTTACTGCAAGATAGTGACTCACCAAAGCTACCCAGCAATCAATGAAAAGGTTAATTGGAATCTACTTTCCTCTTTCTTTGAGCCACCTTTTCTATTCAAAGCCAAAAAATAAAACATGAAAAGCTGGGAATTAAAAAGAGGAGCCTATATAAGTATTGATGCTCCACAAAGAGAATGGCCAACCCTGTCTCTTGCACTGCAACACTATATGAGTACTTGTTGGGTTTCTCCAACCAATGCGAGAAGCTCATATCCCCATATCCGTGTGACCCTATATCCTTATCTGGTCAGCTGCTTACTGGCCACCACAGTAATAGTTGTTGTCAGCCATCCTGAAGCACCAGACTGGGGCAGACAGACGAGGGAAGGAGATGGGGAAGGAGGAAGTAAGTAATACCAGGGTAAAAGAGGAAGGAATAATTCAAAGTTAGTGGTAAACACTTTGCGGCTGCTTTGGTTTCATTACTTCTAGGGCCTGCAAGGACCAAGCATATTTACTAATTGAAGTTTTTTTAAGTCTTGGGGGAGCCTCAGATGACAGCTATGCTTGCTGTTTTACAGAGAAAATAAGTGTTGGGTTGAGGCAGGAGAGAATTTGGGGCAGGAAAGGAGACACAAAGAAGGAACCATTATATAAGAAAATGTTTTTCTCAACTTTCTTCTCAAGAGAAGAGGCAATAGGGAAGCAAATAAATACATAAAGCCTATTATAAATCAGAAATTCTCATTTTGTCCCTGACAGCTTCTTAAAACAAAGACATTTCATTATTTTGTTTATTTCTGTAGGGAGTTTCAAGGGAAATCTACAGTGATTTTAAGTGATCAGAAGGAAACCCTGTCACTGCCTCTTTTTAAATAATAGTTGATGTGTCTTTTTATCTTTGTTATTTTTCTAAACCAAGAAGTTAAAAGTATTTGCTTGCCCTTGCTTCATTAAATCTCCTAACATCCCTGTAGGTCAGTATTGCTTATTATTCTCTGCACTTTACAGAGAAAGTGACAGAACAAGCCAAAAAAATGTTCATGTCTCTTGCCTAAAAATCCCATTACCTTGGAGGCATCAGCAATGTATGGCATGTGTCAAAGATGTCAGTGACATCAGGGCTAGGGCAAAAAGGGGATAAAGTAGATTACATTTCTCTATTTCCTTCCCCATGCCTTTGTGGATCCACTGCCCATCTAAGGGAAATGCCTTTTTTTCCATATCATCTCTGGCCCCCCTGTTCTTGCATCCTCCTCTGGCAAAGGTCCCTGTATCTTGTCCTCAAATCAGTTATCCCTTCCTGACAAAATTCCTCTGGGGTGATGGTCTATATGAGCATAAGATAGAAAGAAATACAATTTTCTGATGAGAAAGTGATTCATTTTAGAGATTGAATGACTAATAATCTTAATTTTCCCAGGAGACATTTGCATTTCAAATAAAAGTTACTAAATCGGGTTTGTTTTTTGAGGAAGAGAGAGTTATTTGGCATTTTACTTGAAAGATTGTCCGTGTATGAGACATGCACACTTGCTTATCGTTCCATTAGGGCCTTGGGATTTGGTAATAGGTAGAGAATGAGTCTTATGGGTCCTTTCTTCTTAATGACACACTAAAAGAACCAGGTCATTGGTTAAAACAAGCAGGCAGTCATTTCAACAGTGTGGACTTACAACTCTCCAGCTGCATTGTACAAGTCTGGACATCCATTGGAAAATTCTTCAAGTCCATGGGACAGGATAAGGTCAAGGTGAGTCTTAGCAAAGAAAAAAAAATTAAAAACAAGTTTTAGATCTGCGAGGTCTGAATCTTGAGAAACAAATCAACATTTGGCATTAAGCAAAGTGACACTGATTCAAATAATGAAATCTAAGCTCCACACAAGGCAATGCTTTCTATTTTTCAAGTGAACAAGTAGTCATTTCTCTCTATTTTCCATCTTCCAGCCTCTGACTCCCACCTCAGTGATCTCAAGTTTATTTTAGAATCAACAAGAGTGCTGAGAAATAGTATCATATGACAACAATGGACTCTTACTCACACTGATGTCCAAAAGACATAAAGCTTATACTATTTTAGAGTTATACTTTGAGACAGGTGGACTTCGCTTCAAGGACAGTAAATGATGTGATAAGCGTAATTGGCTGTGATAGGCATTGGTTCTCCTTCCATCGAATGGTCAAATGTTTAACTCTTCATTTGCTAACCCACATGGATAGGTTCACAATATATTGTAGCACTTATTCTAGAGTTTTGACAAATCTGGAGCAAGTAATGCTTGAGTTAAAAAATCATTTAAGGATGGTAGCTTATACACAGTCTTCACCTCTCTGCACCAAAGAAAGGCTACTCCACTCCTTCTTTCCTCTTTCCTTAACTTTTCAGAGCTCCAGGCAGCTCTGACCATGCCTTGTATCAGGATATTGACTGAGCTGCTATCTCTTTTGCCATTTCCTTGTTTATTCCTCAAGGAGATGATGCACACCTCTTCCTCTTCAATTTTTCTAGACCTCAGATATGTAAGGAAGGAAATTGAGCATCAACAGATCTAGGTTCCTTTCCCAGTATTGCCTCAAACACTCTCTGTCCCCTAAGCAAGATCTTAAACTCAATAAACATTCATCTCCTTTTCAAAGGATGGGATAGGATAAAATGATGCTTATTCCCATTTAGCTCTAACATTAGCATCCCTGTTATTCTAAAGTTCGCTGCTCCAGATTTTGTTCATTTTCTCTCAGACATCTTTTACATGCATAGAACCCTCTGAGGCTTGCACGGGTACCTAAATTCTCCTTACTGTCATGCTCATTCTTGCTCTCCTCTCCTGGCTCCCTTCTCTTTTCCCTTCTTGGCTTCATTTTATACATTCCATGCAAGCCAAGACAAAACAAAAAGTAGTGGCACATTTATGTTAAAGAAAAAAATGTTTGGGATTTGAAGTCAGATTAGGTGAAGAATCTATGCTGACAGTCTTCAGATTTTTGTGAAAATACAAGAATGATTGGGAAAAGCAAGATACAAAACAGTGCATTATAATCTCAATTATGTAAAAATAAGTTTTCAGTCTTGGAAATAAACACAACACTATGTTAAAAGTAAGTATTTCTGTTTGGTTGGATGATTCATGTTTTGTTTTTATTCTTTATTCAGCATTATCTGTGTTGACAAGTATAATTTATTTGAAGATGTCCATCTTCACATAATTAAACATGCCTGTCTTCAAACAATAGCTGAAAGGTAAAATTATAAAATTCTGTCTCACTCAGTAATCCTTTGCTTTATTTTATTATTATTAAAATTATGCCATAAACATACAGTATTTCACCTTCATTGCCAAACAAATTACCTAGCTTCTGTGGGCTGTTCTGAGAACATAAATACCATGTTTCTAAAGGAAAAAAAAAATAGCTCTGAGTTCTAAACAACTGACTTAAAAATAACATTTTAGACAGGAAATATAATTTTTGTCAATCATAGAGTTCATTTAGAGATAGATATAAATGGAGATATAGATATTTAGATTTTTTTCCCGCACCAATACTCTATTTTTTGGAAAACACAATATTGTTGAGATTAATGGCATGAACTCTTTAGGGGCAGAGTAAAAGAATCAAAATGAAAATTGCTAGTAATCAAAACTTTCTAAAACCTGGCACTTTATTAAGGGGGAAAAGACCTCAGCAGGATCTATGAATAGGGGTTTTGTTATTAACACAATGAGAATCCATCTATTCTCTATTTTTAAAATGGAAATATTGTCATCAAATAAAAAATATGTTCATCTGACAAAAACAATCAGGGGTCATGTGCATAATTTAAGTGAATCAAAACCAGAAACTGGAAATTTCATCATGATTTTGAAAAGTTTACTTTTGAGAAGTTAGAAAATAATAATAGTGGAAATGAATACAGTTTTACAAAACATGCAACCGTTCGTTTGCTATTGGAAACAACCCAGTTTTAACATTCTTAATCATAGGCTTGCTGAATATGATTCTTTTGTGAAGTGAACCTTTCACATTTATTTAGGGAGAAGAGGTCTCACACACAATTATTTTTGCCTTTGTGGGAGATCTCACAATCCTACAGGGACCCAGAATTCTTAGGGTAAAAACTATGAACAGTACGGAAAACCCCACTGAGAGAAATTCCCAACAAGCATGAAACTCTCTCTGAATTCTGTCTCAGCTGAGAACTCAGCTGGTATTTTCCTTCTTCCTCATTTGTTTTTCTAATTTCCTTTCTCAGTAGGTTTTGTATTGGAACCCAATGGGCACCAATACAAGGAGAAGAGTTAACGGTTCATAGTTTGCTACATCATGTCATTAGCTGAGCAAATGGAAAAAGATTGTAAAGACCTAATCAATCCCTTCATGGGTCACAGAGCCCATAATTTATGATGTCTTGTTTACCACACATCTGCAGGCCTGAAATTCAGACTTGCCCTCTACTTATTTTTCCCTTTTTCATTGGAGTATACATTAAACACAGTAAAAACATACAAACCTTAAGTTAGAGAGCATGATGATATTTTACATCTTTATCCACCTATCTAAAAAGCACCCACATCCAGATTTAGAATATATCCATCACTCCAGAACTTCCCTTGTGCTCTCTTCCCTGGAAAGAACCTTCAAAAGGAAGTACCACAGCACTGTTTTTATTTTTAAGCTATTTTTTTATTTTAAAAATGTGACTTTGGGGGGATTAGCTTGATATTATTTTGGTTATCTCTACTGAGGTGTAGAAATTGCACCAAATAAGACTGACACAACATTATCCTAAAACGTGAACAATTTTTCCCTCCAAAATAGATGCTCTCCATCTATTTTGGTGGATCTTACAGAATTAAATATTTGAATTGAAACTCAGACTTTCTGCTGGCAGGTACTGCCTACAGCATATCAGATATGCTCTCTTCTTCCCCATGATCTAAAATATTAAGGCATTGCACCTGAAGGCACTGAGCTGAGACCACCCATCTTCCATTCGTTTTTTGTTAAATAACTCATTTCCTGAAGCATTATTACTACATTCCCCCACTGTCACTGCGGTGGACATGCATGCATTCAGGGTATCCCTGCTCCTGTTTGCACAAGGTAAAGAATAAAGTTCCCTTACAGGGGCCCCGTTACTTTACTGAGAGTAAGAAGACTGAGTACCCATTTCTATATTAAAGGCAAAAAAATAAAATGGAGCACAGGAAGTCAGTCTCCCCAAATCGCACATCCCTTCCTTATTCCTCTCCTGTTCAGTTTACCTTGCCCATGAAACCGGCTCTTGGGTTTATACCTTACTCAAAGTTTAAATGACTGATAGTAGCAGACATTGTGAACTGTTTCAGTTACCCTTACATGTACCTCTCCCCTATTACAATGCAAGATCCACAAAGCCTGGAACTCTCTTTTTTACCATCTAAAACAGTGCCTGGCACAGAGTAGATATTCAGTAAATATTTGTGGAACAAATGAATGAATCAGCATCCTAAAGCTCTATGGGAGGATTTCAGGCTTTTGTTCTGTGGAAATGGGAAAGGACTGTGGATTTAGAAGAGAAGAACCTGGTCACCAGAGCCCAGAGGGTGTTGCCAAATTACAAGACAGGCAAGGGAAGCCAACAAAGCTTGCTTGCCCCTTCTGTAAGTTGCTAGCTGGTTCTTACTAGAAGTGAGGCAAATCAAGCTGAAGGAAAGTCAGGAAGCTCAGTCTACCTGTGCTTGAGCCTTGGACAGATAGCTGGGTCCACGACCAGGACTGTTCTCACATAGCTAGAGAGATGCAAATTAATCATTTAACTTTCCATTGTTATGGTGGGCAGAAAGCTCCCTGACTCTTGAAGCAACTACTGGTTCATAAAGAACTCAGTGTTAGAATTGGGAGTTCATTCCCAATGAAAGAGGAGGGGGGAATAAAGCCATTTGAAGAAAAAAACAAATTTTCAGGTTAGAAATACAAATTTTAATGAGTGATCTGTTTGCTTGAAGCAAAGATTGCTAGTGTACTATTTTGGGAGAGTTGATTCTAATGGTTACAGTAGTCTGTCTTGCTTGGAGAGGAAGGACAAAGGGATATTTTTGTGTTTTTCAGGAGAAGCAAGAGTCTCTGGTATATTACTATTGTTCCTCTGTTAGGGCCAACGCTTAGCACACTCTATGTATGTAGCACACTGCAAAACCCCACAGAGGGAACAGGACCTATGGTGAGTTTTTTTAGCATTAAAATACTTATTAAGGAAAAATAAAAATTTAAGTGATGACAATGATAGTATTAATAATCATAATTCTCTGAGCACCTGCTGTAGGTCAAGCACTCTTATTATTTTACAGTCATGGAATACCATCACATAAGGCAGTGTTCTCTTTGTTTTTGAGATAAGCAAATTGAAGCTCAGAGGTTAAGCCATTTTCCCAAAGCTACAAAACCATTAAGTGACGAAAGTTAGATTTGAACCCAACTTTAATTGATGTCAGATCCATTTATTTATTTTCCACTCTACTACATTTTCTCCTTAGAAAAAAAATCTTAGTAGTTTATCTTCCTCTTTTGTCTGCAAAGTCAACAGAGTAGGTTGTAGACACCTTAGTTGCCTTGTACCTGCTCAGGGATACCCCTTTCATTTTTCTTCAGGAATCCAGACTTCTCATGATCTATTCTTTTAAAAATTCCTCTAGCCTCTCCTGGTGGCTTCACAGAGTAGAAGTATCATTGACTGGGGATTCAGGGACCTAGGTGGTAGACCCAGTTTACCCGTAAAGAG